GAACTAATCATTCTTTTAGTTAGAACCCTTATCAATATAATCAGATTAGCTCCGTTATATTTGAGACGACTAGAATCTCTAAAATATCTTTTAATTCTTTAAAAGAATAATTTGTCATAAATAAATAATTCTTATTTGTTTAATTATTGATTAACTTCTAGCCCGGTTTCTAGGGCGTTACATTTCTTTCCCCCTTAAAGGAATTTCGTCCCCGAAATTCTTCTAAGGTATAAACTCCAATGACTTGGCATCACATTCGCATTAGGATTATAGTTAGGTGAATGACTACATCATTCCCACGAAGATTTTCTTCGTTTATCGTTCGAGGTGCTATCTTAAGGCTTTTGTATTCGTGTTTCGTTCAAGACATGCGACAAGTTTGTCGAGTTCATAATTTGGTCTTTCTCGAGTTTGTTTTCAACAGATATATATAGATTACCTCCATAGCACGTTCAAACAATACTTAAGCTTTCAAATATCGTAGCATCAGTTATTTGATCAATTATTCAGTTCGTATTCGAAGTTCATTTGTGCCGTTAGCTAATGACGGCAGCATAAGATTTTTCTCAAGATTTCTCATGGATTAGCAGGATTGTTTCGTAACGTTCACACTTCCGTGTGGTCGACAATGGAGTTTAGAAATTTGTTTCACCATTAGGCTCTTCGTGTTTTAGAGGTTGTTTCATATGTCTGTCTCGAGTTATTCCTTTTTCCTATCGCGTCATCAGGTCACGATTCATGTAGCACGTCGTCAAGGTCGGTTTCCTGGCATTATTAATTCATACTTGGATTTCTCTTGAGAGGAGTCAACTCCCCGTGCTTAGTAATAACGGACTACTATACAATTATTATTCATGTTTGACAATGTGTTCGCGCTATTAGTGTATTGGTTTGTTTTGTTCAAGTACATAACAAGATATATTTCTGGTGGCAATCAATTCGATCGTCTATTTATCAACGGCTCTCTTTCTAACTAGAAAGGAGATTCTTCAACATGTGGTTACGCCCACAATCTTTGATAATGTCGAGGTACTTAGGAAATTCAAAATTTTCGTTTTAAGAGTTTGGTTAGCAATTCACAAGCTTACATGTAACGGTCTTCGTGTCAACTCCTCGTTCAACACCTCTTCACGCGATCCATTCGGGTGATTTGGATAATATGAGTGACGAGGTACAACACTGTCTTCTTGTTCATACGTACACGTGTCTTCGTTGTTGGTGGAGTAAAATATTCATCGTTCAGATCTTCAGCGAGATTTCCAAGAATTGTATCGACGTTCAGACTGGTTCAATAGGATCACGAAGGTTTCATAAATGCATCTATCTTGAGTACGTTCTTCAATACGGTTTAGTCAACAATTTCACAGAGTACAAGTTTAAAAGTAGGAGTCATCATTATTACATAGAATTCTTACCACACAAGACATACCTATCACCACAGGTACGTCATCGCTGAATCTTGGAATGAGGTTTTGACAATTCATTATGGATATACAATGGCAAATCTCGTGTAGAAGTTTCACCATCGTCAATGGGTCAAAGTTGAGAACCAGGGTAGTCAACGTATAGATGTAGATTACAGGTAAGCTTTAACAGTTTAAGAATATTAGTCGTTCGTTTGTCACAATATTCAACGCAGCATCTGACAATCCTACTTTCGACAAGGGGTTTTAGGAGTCACTCCTTACGGTTTGTCAGCCTTCAACGCATTTCTCGAGCGAGTGAGCCATTATTTCGGATTTTTTTTAATCATGCAATCTATGTGCTTAAGTGATTTACTCTTAGAGACGTTTTCGTGTATCAAGTAATTAGTGTGGTGATGCGTTTTTTTTTCAAAATGAGTTCATCATAGTCGATCAATCACTTGTAAGTTTGACTAGCGCGTCGAGAGTGCCTTGTCTGAAGCGATAGCAATAGTCATTCTTTTGTGTGTCATCTGTGTCTCACATTTGCTCAGTGCCATCAATTATTCAGTCCATGTGACATCAATCGTCTTATCAGATTTGGTCAAGTCGCCTAACCGCTCATGCATCGTACTCATTGGTACCCTATTGTCAGCTTTCGTCATCGTCATGCGGTCAATGTCCTCTGCGTTCTTTTGTGTCATGTTTGTCAGTTCTACGACATCGCTGATTATCGCTATACGGTCCCGCCAGGTGTACGGCGTACCCAATGTACTTCGGTGTTCAGGGTTATCGCTATTACCCCTTTTGGGGGATTTGTGGCTTCATCATGGTTCTACGTTTTTGGCAACCATTAGAGGTTCGTCCTCTAGTTCAGGTAGCATTCAACTATGTGATACGACCTTAATAATAATGTAATCGACATCAAGTGCATTCTTCGATTTCGGAGTAGGTTCACCCTTCGCGAGTCATAACCTAAAAGTTCCAAATGGCATAGTCAAGGTCATACTGAGTCGTTCTTGGTGCACTAAATTTATATATATATACATATATATTTCCAACAATTCTTTGACCATACTAAGAGAGTAAGTGGGACGTTCGACTACGTCACCACTATCACTATCGGTATCTCTAATACCTGCTAATTAGACTTGTAATGGTTCCGAAGCCCTTCAAGAGTGCGTCTGCTGACGGCCAACCACATTTCTACGTGTCAATGTAGTAACTTCTTTTAAGTCTGCTTCGTTCGTCACATCTTGTCGAGATAGATTATTCACTATGTTCTTTTGGTTTGTATCCATCCACAACACTTCGTTATGATGTGCTGGTTGTAACTATTATTTTCTTTGTTAAACAAACAAGTTCTCCTTGTCCTTTATACGGTCATTCCCGTTTGATACCAAAATAAGACTCCCTCATCCATCTAGGTCTGCAGCCCCTTCAGAATTTGGTTGTCCATTCCAGTGATCATATGAGATAACCGAATATTAGACAATATAGTTTATTATGAGTATATTTTTACACTATTTTCTTTTGTTACCTAGCATCTCGTTGTCAGAGTTGATGCTAGCATTCACGTTCTAGTAATAGGTTCCATCTACAGGATGTGAATTCCTATCTTAGATTAATGCATTTCAGTATGTAGAGTAATCAACAATTTGCAGCTCAACACAGATATTCCAATAGTCAATTTAACACACAAATTCAAACAATCAGCTTCATACCAGTATTTGAGCAATCAGCTCAGCAGAACTATTCGAACACTCAGTTCCGTTCAAACAACTTGAGCAATCAGCTCCACACAAACACTTAAGCAATAAGACAATAACTTATTACCTTCCCGGG